ATCTGACAACCCTACCCAAGCCCAGGCATCTCTAGGTGGGCAAATCTCTGGGGCCCACACGCACCAACACTGTGAAATCCCCCAACTGCTGAGAGAAGAGGCCAGAGTGGCAGGCCCAAGAAACAGCTCTCAGATACGAAAAGATCTCCCAGTGAGGACAGCTGGGGACTCCAATGAGACAGTATGTGGCAGCTCTCCCACACCAGGAGGATGGAGGGAGGTGCTCCCCAGGCCCTGCTCCTCCCCTGGCTCCAGTGGCACGTGCCCTTTTCCCGAAGAATCCCACACAGCCTGTTCCCACCCAGCAGAACCCTGGGAAGGGCTGGGGCGAGAGTGGTGGCCCAGCCATATCCCACTTCCTCCTCTAAGAAGCCTTGTCCATGACTCATGCCTCCCTGATCTGTCCATACATTTTCACAACCAATTACACGGCCCTTGTCCTTTTCCATTGTCTTGTGTGCCTGAGGGCTCCCAGCTGAAATCAGAAGCCCCAGCCAGCAGACTGAGGGCCAGTCCTACAGCTCAGCACAACGCAGGAAACCAGCGCTCACCTGAGACATAAAGACCAGTGAAAGCCTTGAAGAAGACAAGGCACACCTCTGAGCCACCGGTTCTGTGTCAGAATGAAGGGAGCTCTCTCACAGAGGTTGATGGGAAGGTTACACAATACAACACCAAGGGCTTCTTACCAGTTTGGCCCATAAGAGCCTGTTAGTCCACGGCCATTTCCTTTATTTACTTTTTTAAAAAACAGAGATGGGGTCTTGCCGTGTTGCCCAGACTGGTTTTGAACTCATGGCTTCAAGTGATCCTCCCACCTTGGCCTCCCAAAGTGCTGGAATTACAGGCATGAACCACTACAGGTCACTTTATTTTTTGTTTTAATTTTAAAATTATTTTTAATTGTGGTAAAATATACATGACATAAAAGTCACAACCTTGATATTAAGTGTACCGTTCAGTGGTATTAAATAAATTCCCAGTATTGTGCAAACACCATCACCATCCATCCCTAGAACTCTAAACTCTACACCCATTAAACGCTCCCTCCCACTCCCTCCTGTCCCCCCAGCCCGTGGCAACCACCAGTCTACTTTCTGTCTCTGTGAATTTGACTGCTCCAGGTACCGCACATCAGGGGAATCATACAGTATTTGTCTTTTCATGACTGGCTTATTCCACTTGGCATAATGTCCTCATGGTCACCTGTGTCGTGGCCTGTCTTTCCCTCCTTGTGGAAGCTGAAGGATCATTCCATCACGTGTGCCTCACTGTGTTATCTACTTACCTGCCACAGACACTGCGGCTGCTTCCACCTCTTGCCTATGGTGAGAATGTGGCTGTGAATGCGGCTGTGCAAACATCTCATTGAGACCCTGCGTTCTGTTCTGTTGGGTATACACACCAAAGTGAAAATGCCGGATCTTATGTTAATTCTGCTTCTTCTTTTTTTTTTTTTTTAGACGGAGTTTCACTCTTGTTGCCCAGGCTGGAGTACAATGGCACGATCTTGGCTCACCACAACCTCCACCTCCTGGGTTCAAACAATTCTCCTGCCTCAGCCTCCCGAGTAGCTGGGATTACAGGCATGCACTATCACGCCTGGCTAATTTTGTATTTTCAGTAGAGACGGGGTTTCTCCATCTTGGTCAGGCTGGTTTTGAACTCCTGACCTCAGGTGATCCACCCTCCTCAGCCTCCCAAATTGCTGGGATTACAGGTGTGAGCCACCGTGCCTGGCCCCTCTGCTTCATTTTTTCAGAAACCATCACGCTGTTTTCTATAGCAACTGCACCATTTCACATTCCCACCCGCAGTGCACAAGGGTTCAGTTTCTCCAATTTCTCCATGTCCTCCAATGCTTGCTCTTTGCTTTTTTTTTGAGATGGAGTTTTGTTTTTGTTGCCCAGGCCCAATTGCAGTGGCACGGTATCAGCTCACTGCATTCCACCTCCTGGGTTTGAGCGATTCTCCTGCTTCAGCCTCCCAACTATCTGGGATTACAGGTACACACCACCATGCCCAGCTACTTTTTATATTTTTAGTAGAGACAGGGTTTCACCATGTTGCCCAGGCTGGTCTCGAACTCCTGACCTCAAGTGGTCCACCCACCTTGGCCTCCCAAAGTGCTGGGATTACAGGCATGAGCCACGGTGCCCGGCCCTCTCTACTCTTTTAATAGCAGACATCCTGAGTGTGTGAGGGGGCTGTTTCCTTTTGCTTTGGACCCACACACCTTCCAGTCCTGCTCACTCAGCAGGCACTCCATGGAGGTTCACTGGTGAACTAGATTCTGTCCTGAGCTTTCTCCCTTGGGCCTGTGGCCCTTGGGGATTATTTACAGCCAGGGCCACCTCTGTTCTCCCCTTGGGCAGGCTCAAGGATGAGCCCTTCTGGGGGAGTGGGAGGCAGGGAGCCAGGCACAGAGTGCACAATTCTCGCCACCAGGTGCCACCAGGCAGTCTCAGCCTTGTGGCTTTCTGCTGGAGCATTCAAGTTAACCCGCCCATCAGCTCCCACAGGACCAAGGACAAACACACGCCCTGTGACAGTGGATCTGGGCTCCTTGAGACTGCTGCCTCCTTTCCAGCTGTAGGCACCGACTTTGTTCCTGTTCCCAGTTCCCAGCAATAGGCTTCTTGTCTCCCCAAACCCAGCTCTCTCTGCCCCGAAAGGCTGAGTGGGTGGCAGCCTGAAAAGCCACCAGATGCTGTCTCCCTAAGTCCCCACACACTCACCCAGGCGCCCAGGAAGCAACCCCCCACTGACTCAACAGCACAGGTAGGAGAAGGCATGACAGGAAAGCACCAAGGAGGTCATGGAAACAGTAAGCTCTGATGGAGGGAAGGCCTGGAATGATCCAGAACAAGACTGGGGATAGCAGGTGTTGGAAACTGATGCTTGGTGCAACAAAGAAAAATTAGCACTGAGACAAAGGATTTTTTAGCAATGCTATTTTTACTTCCTATGCTGCAGGAAGGGTACCCTCACTAGCCATTGTGCCACGAGATCGCTATGTCTGATCTCCGTTGGCTGGAGCCAGACCTCACAATCTAAACTAAAATCCGGTTGGCTGACAAACTTTAAAACTTTTCCAAACAGGTAAAAGCAATGGAGAGCTGGGACATGCCTGTGAGCACGTCCAGCACAGATATCTTGGCTAAAGTACAATGCCATAGAATGTACTACGTGCCTGTAAGCATGGCAGGTCTAACAGCTACATAGGATAGGGTTTAACAAAGACCTATTAGCACACTTATTCTTTAACAAGAAACGAAACTTTAAAAAGGAACTTTTCTACTTCCCACAGCAGGCCTGTGTAGGCCTGCCGTTCTTCCCATCCAGGGGGAAGCTTTAACATGAATTTAGCGCCACACAGACCTGGATTCAAATAGCAGCTCCTGCCGGGTGCGGTGGCTCACACCTGTAATCCCAGCACTTTGGGAGGCCAAGGCAGGTAGATCCTTGAGCCCAGGAGTTCAAGACAAGCCTGAGCAACATGGTGAAACCCTTTCTTAACAAAATATAAAATACTAATAGAAAAATAGCCAGATATGGTGGCATGTGCCTAAAGTCCCAGCTACTCAGGAGACTGAGGTGGGAGGATCACTTGAATCTGGGAGGTGGAGGTTGCAGCGAAACAAGATCAAGCCACTGTACTCCAGCCTGGGTGACAGGGGGAGACACTGTCAAAAAAAAATAAAGTAGCAGCTCCATCAATACATGCTGTGTGACACCAGGCAATTCTGTTTACCTCTCTGAGCTTCATTTGGCAAATGAGGATAATAACATGGGAGTCACAAGGTCACTGTAGGGCTGAAAGAGCAATGCAGCCGAGGGAGGGCACCCGCCTGACTGCTGCTGTCTCATGCGGAGACCTCCTCCTGCCACCCGCTTTCCTGCTGCTGAAATCCCACACACAGTTAGACCCGGGGTTGGAGGAAAAAAACAGGAGATGAAAGGGTAACGGCCTTCCTTTTTCCGACGTGGGGCGGTTTGTTCTTAAGGGAAAAAACAGCCCCCTCTGCAGCTGCACTCGGTTCTCCACCTCCACTCCATCCTCTCTTTGTGTTTGGGCTTCTGGGGAAGCAACAAGGTCCCACGGTGGTTTCCTTCCAGGATCCCCCCTCCCTCCAGAAATTCCCCGATGGCTGCCAAGCTCAGTGGTAGGAAAAATGAGCAGTTTCCAGACAGAGGCCAGCACACTTCAGGGGCAAGGAGTGGAGGCCACGCCCCCCTGACTGCCCCAGCCTCGCCAACAGTGGCAGGTCACTCTGGCGGGCCTACACTCTCAGTCGCCCTTACCTCTCTAAATGCACAGAGGAGCGGCAGAGGGCCTGGCTGAGGGGAGCGGGCAGAGAGTCATCCCCCGCACCCCTTGTCGCTCTGCCCCTGCCCCACATCCTGGGCAATTAGACTACTGTGCGGGGGAGAGGCATCAAAGGCGGAGGCAGGCGCTGTGCACCCAGCTATACACCTGGGACTTGGAGACAGTGACCCTGGAGTTCAACAGGCATCCATTCAACGGTTCCCCAGGCATGGTGCTAGGGATCAGGGCACAACAGGCAGCAAAACGGACCCTCACGGGGTGCCAGGAGAAGGGGGGCATCCAGAGGAACACGAGGAGCCTATGGCTGCCTCTGCCGCCCTCCTTCCCCCTGCCCTCCTGCCCAGCCCCGAGTGGCTTGTGTTCAAAGCCCCTGTGCGCTCTGCTCACTTGAAACTGACTCAGGTGAGGGGCTGTGCAAACAGCCAAGGCTGAACTAAGGAGTGAAGTCTCTGAGGGAGAAACCGCCCCAGGAAAGGCAAGCCAGGTGTTGGGGCGGGGAGCTTGGTTACCACCGTGAGCTTGAGAAGTTGGGGACTGAGGAGGGCAGTGGACATGGGCAGCCCTCAGGAAGGGCCATCATCCTCCCTACCTGGGCAAGCTCAAGGGCAGCCCCAAACAGCAAACTCGCATTTTCCACCTTTCATTCCAGGAAGTGCACTGTGAGGCCACAGCGGGGAGGGGTCAGGGGACCTTGGACCAGGATCTCTGACTAAGCCTGAGTCAGGGCTGCCTTCCCCTGGTCCCCACCTGCCCTCACAGGCCACTGAGCCGCCTCTCCTGGCTCAGCCTCTCCCACTGTTGCCCCCACCCTCAACTCCTTTCGTGATTTCCTCATCCTTCATAAAGTCCAGGCTGTCCCCCGGACAGTGCCCTGCACCCAACCCCTCCCACCGACTGGCTCCCATCCTCATCCTCCCAGCCTGTCCTTCTCCTGCCCCACTGCCTCTCCATACTCCTGTTCCTTGGTGCTCCCGATGGCCTCTAACTGTCCTTCAAACCCAGCCCAGTAGCAGGTCCTTCCAAAGGCTTCCTGCCACCCTTTCCCTTCCCTGGGTAGGTATAGAACCCCCTCACCCTGGCCTCCTCCACCCCAGGCCCCCTTCCTCCCAAGAGGCCATGACTACATCTCACATCTGTATTTTTGTGCCTGGCATAGAACAGGAAAGGAATGAGAATTTCACTGAGCACCTACTATGTGCGGGCCACTGTTATGAAGGTCGTCACAAGGAATCTTGACAACAAACCATGACATGGTATTGTCTCACTTTTACAAGTAAGGAAACTGAAGCCTCAGGCAAAGAGATGATTTCAAAGAACTTCAGAGCAAAGAATCTTTGACTAGAGTGAAGTAGACCCCCGAAAATTCCTGGGAGAGGTAGAGCTTGAGTTGGGCTTAAAAAGCGATGAGGATTCTGAGGAACACAAAAGAGGGAGAGAGAGAACTAGAGCATTCCAGGCAGCTGGGGAGTGAGATAAAGGAACGCTGGGAGGCAGGAAAGCCCAGGAAGTGATTGGCAAGACTAACTAGGTGGTTTAGCGGAGCATTTGAGGAACGCTTAGACAAGTGGCCTGGCTGGGGGTGACTCACACCTGTAATCCCAGCACTTTGGGAGGCCAAGGCAGGAGGACTGCTTGAGCTCAGGAGTCTGAGACCAGCCTGGAAAACATAAGGAGACTCTATCTCTATTTAAGAAGGGAAGGGAAGGGGAGGAGAGGGGAGGGGAGGGGAAGGGGGAAAGGAGGGAGTGGGAGCAGGAGGGAAGGGGAGGAACTGTCCCTTCCACCAGGAGCAGAAAGCCTGGAATGGAACACCAAGCCTGCCGAAGACATGGGGTGTTTCTGAGCAGGCTAGGCAGTGTTCAGGGGGACAAGCCCTTGTGGAAAACCTCCCTGTCAAAAACCCTTCCAGGAACTTGATTGGCCAGCGCGAGAGACCCTATGACCTCAGGCTCCAGAGATGGCTCTGCAAAGCAAACCCACCATGACTACTGGTCAGTGACTCACTTCTCCCAGGAGCCCACCCCAGGGCTGAGCGCTCCTTCACTCGGCCTCCCTTAGCCCTTGCTCCAGTCTCTCTGCGGCTGGGGTGAGTGTTCCAGTGAAGAAGTGTGTGGAGCACACACGCCTGCTGCTCACGTTCCTGCCCACGTGTGCATGTGCGCACGCATGTGGGGCCTATGTGTCTCTTTCTCTGAGACCCATTCGAGATCTGCAGGCGGCTCGGGCCCCTCCCAGGCTGTTGCAGCCAGATGCACCTCGGGCTCCACCCATCATCCTGGGAAAACATGCCCCTGCTGAATTCAGAGAATGCTCCAGAAGGATTCAGGAAATGAGGACCATTCATGAACACAGTGACGGATGCAGAGCATCTGCCTTGCATCCACTGCCAAACTAACCCTAAGGTAACAGACAGGGGAAGACCCCAGATGACTGCAATTTGGGGACACCTCCAACGCATGCTCACTGTACTTGTTCCAAAATGATCAGAGGGGAGATTTGGTGCATGCTGTGGCCTCACGGGCTCTCATCGCATTGTCTCTGCCCCTCAAGGGCGTCTAAGCACCATTGCCTTCAGCCCCCTTACCCTTAGAACTGACTGCCATAGGGCTAACTGCTTAGCAAGTCAAGGGGGTCTGGGGGACTTACGGAGGGGACAGAGCTGTCTAGAGAGCCCCTTGACCCAAGACACCCCCACTGCACTTGGGAGGAAAGGCAGGGCTGGGGGACGGAGGCACTGTGGGGGCTCTTTCTATTTGGCAGGAGCTGCAGCCACGCACACCGTGGCCACAGCACACAGCATACATCTTCTGTCTCACAGTGATTGAAGATTGTGCCAAACCACTGGTCAGACAGATTTCCCCCCGAGCCCCACACTAATTGGTTTTTGGATGCTGCAACCCAAGTGCAAGCTCCGAGCTCACTGCTGAGCTCAAACTCCTGGGTGTCCAAAGGGCTTAGATGTGGAGGCCACAGACACCTGGGCTGTGCATGCCTCTGCAGTGAGCCTGGGAAAGCAGCTCTGGGGATTGCACCCTCGGTGCCAGGGCTGGGGAGCCTCTGGCTCAGGGAGGCCTTAGGGACAGGCACTCAGCCAGCTGCCTGAGTAGGTCCCTAATGAGCAGATGTGTTCCAGTCTCTCTGCCCAAGGGGCAGCTGCACCTGGGCTGGAGAGCTGAGACTCCCCGGGGCTCTGTAGCCTCTGTGCCCCTCAGTCTAACCCGACAGCCCCTCGTCCTGTTGGAGGAGGGCACAGCTGCCTGCCGCCCCTCCTTCCCCATCTCTGCCTCTCTAATCCTCCTTGAGGAAGATTCCATCAGAGATTTTAGTTGCATTTTCCTACACTATGCCTGAAACATAGTAGGTGCTCAATAAATGCAACTTTTCCTGAGTCATTGGTGAGGAAAAGCTGGACTCAGGATCAGGCTGTCCCAGCCTCAGGGTCCTCACGCACAGATGTGCACACATTAACAGAGCACTTCTCACCTGCAACAGTGCCTGGTTCACACTGTATGCCAGTTAAATGATCCGTATTATTATTTTATCTTAAGAGAGGAATCCAGCTGTGTTCAAATGAGAGTTTGGGATAAAATAAGAGCTAGAATCTAGCCTTGCAGGTGGCAACACGGAACCTGGGTCTCCATCCCGACCCCTGCTGCCCACCGTCTCACATGCCATCTAGAGACGGCACTCCTCATGTAATGCTGCAGGAGGGGCTCCACTGGCACGAAGGGGGTGGGCTCTTATCACAGACCCAAACAGCAGGCTACTTTTCATACTCCCATCTCCAAAGCTGCGTGCAAAACACTGATCTTGACTGGGGTTAGAACCCAGCTTCCAGGGCCAGGAGTGGTGGGTCACGCCTGTAATCCCAGCACTTTGGGAGGCTGAGGTGGGTGGATCACTTGAGGTCAGGAGTTCAAGACCAGCCCAGCCAACATGGTGAAACTCCATCTCTACTAAAAATACAAAAATTAACCAGGCATGGTGGCAGGCATCTGTAGTCCCAGCTACTTGGGAGGCTGAGGCAGAAGAATCACTTGAACCCGGGCGGTGGAGGTGGCAGTGAGCCAGGATCGTGCCATTGCACTTCAGCCTAAGCAACAAGAGTGAAACTCCATCTCAAAAAAAAAAGAACCCAGCTTCCAGAACGCCTCTTTCTAACCCAAGAAAGAAAGAGAGCAGATCAGATGCTGAAGCATTGCCAGGGTTCATAGGAAGTCTGCAGAACCAGTGGGTAAAAGTCCAAGATGGCCAGACTGCTGTAAGAGCACCCCTCTTTAAACAGAGAGCGCCCCACCCCAACATCAGCAATCCTGCACACGGCCAGTCCCACAGCAACCCTGCCACTGGGTCCTGGCATCACCCCATTTTACAGCCAAAAGACAGAGGGCACAACGACCAGGCGGTTTGCCTAAGACCCTACAGCCAGTTGGCAGCAGAGGTGGGATTCCACCCAGGGTTGCCCTGCATAAAGTCCAGGCTTGAAATCACAACTCTACACTGCAAATGGAGAATCCACCCACATGGCACTAAGCCAGGAAGCAGCCCTGCCAGGGGACAGAGGGCAGGGCAAGAAAACTGGGGCCACTCAGTGGTGCACCAAGGGCCGGGAGAAGGGGCCACCACTGTGCCCTTCACTGGCCTTGCTCAGGGTATCAGGTTTCAGTGACTCCAACACCTGCTGTGGGTGCCCAGAAGTCAGACTCTCCGCCAATGCCCACCGCTCCTGTCCTCACCATGTTCAGGTGGAAGGATGAAGGAAAGAGACAAACCTGGGCTCACTGCCGGGCTCCTACATGAGAGAGAGGACAGAGCGGCGGCTACGGCGGAGCCTGCCCACGGAAATACAAAAAACATTACATTTTATACTCTATTTATGTCAATATATTTATATATTTATGAAACTAGATAACAATATTTATGTAAGTATATGTGTATAAATTATATATATTTATATAAATATATAATGTAAATATGTAATTTATATAAATAATATGAATATGTAACTTACATACATATATTTATATAAATATATAATTTACATAATGTGAATCTGTAACATAAATATATAATGTAAATACATTTATAGTTATATATACTTATACAAATTATATGTTTATGAATTATTTATATATATTTATACAAATTATGTGTTCACATAAATATATAATTTTACATAATTATAACCACCATATAAATTAAAAAATAAAATACTGCCATACACCAGGAATCCCCTTCACATGTGTCCCCACTCATAATCCCTCAATGTCCCCCAAAAGATAACCACAATCATGACTTTATGTAAATCACTTATTTGCTTTGTTTTGTGGCTTTACCACCTATGTATGCATCAACAATTTAATATATATATATATATACACACACATATATATACATATACATATATATATATACACACACACATATATATACATATACATATATATATATACACACACACATATATATACATATACATATATATATATACACACACACATATATATACATATACATACATATATATATATATATATATACACACACACACATATATATATATATACATACATACACACACACACAAAATAAAACCTTTGATGCTATTCACACAAAAACTTGAATTCCAATGCTGACCCAGGCCACAATAAAGGGAGAAAAGCCAGCAATTCGGGAGTTGAGGGGAAGCCACCCCATCACCTCCTGCCAGCCAGGCCACTCCCCTCACCCGGCTTGCTACCCTGATGGCTGTGATCTGTGAGTACCCGGGTTTGGGGGAGTGCTGGTGAACTGCCCGCCTGGCACCCTATCCAACAGCTACTCTCTGGCACTGCCTAAATCATCCCATCAAAAAGCGGTTCTGATCCTCACCTCCCTGTTCACCCAGGGGCAATCCATTTTTTAGTGGCTAGAAGTTGGTTATTTACTGCTACGGTTGGAAGGTTTGTGTCCCCTCAGAAGTGAAGTGTTGAAATCCTAACCTCCCAGTGACGGTGTGAGAAGGCAGGGCCTTGGCAAGTGGGCAGATCATAAGGGCTCCACTCTCATGAAAGGGACAAGTGACTTTATAAAAGAGGTGTGAAGAGCTCTCTTGCCCCTTCTGTCAAGGGAGGTTGCAATGAGAAGATACCATCCACAAACCGGAAGGCGGGTCCCTACCAGATGCCAAATCTGCAAGCACCTGAATCTTGGACCTCCAGCCTCTAAAACTGCTGATAAATAAATGTTTGCTGTTTAAGCCACCAGTTTGTGATATTTTGTTACGGCAGCCTGACTTGACCAGGATATTTAGAAAATAATTATTTAAAAAGAACTTTTTTTTCTTTTTTTTTTTGAGATGGAGTCTCTCTCTGTCACCCAGGCTTGAGTGCAGTGGTGCAATCTCGGCTCACTGCAACCTCCGCCTCCTGGGTTCAAGCAGTTCTCCTGCCTTAGTCTCCGAGTAGCTGGAATTACAGGCATGTGCCACCACACTTGGCTAATTTTTCTATTTTTAGTAGAGACGGGGTTTCACCACGTTGGTCAGGCTGGTCTCAAACTCCTGACATTGTGATCTGCCTGCCTTGGCCTCCCAAAGGGCTGGGATTACAGGCGTAAGCCACCACTCCTGGCCGAAAAAGAACTTCTAAAAGCAGACGTTTGACAGAGCACCAGCGTGGGTGGACATTCATTCTGTCCCATCCCTGCACTGTGGTGGAGACGGGCGGTGCTGCGTGGGGATGCCTGCGCCAGGCACTTGGCCGTTCTGATCCTCAGTCTCCCCTGTAACAGCATCAAATCTCTCCCCCAACCCTCACGGGGACACCACACTAAACAGAGGGTAGCACTTCTCACTATCTTCATTGCCATTAATGTTGTCATTCTATTTAACACTGAAACGATTTTTTGAAGCTCCTTTCAGACCAAAAGAAAAAATTGGGCCCTCTATTTACTTTGAAATGTGTTCCTGGTTTTTTGTTAATTAAAAAAAAAAAAAAAAAAAAAAAAAAAAACCAACACCCCTTCCCTGACCATATTGTTCCTTAAGTTCCCTTTTGCTGTGGCACCAATAGTTGCAAACCACTTCCACTCTTACTGAGATTTTTTTTTTCCCGAGATAGAGTTTCATTCCATCTGGAGTGCAATGGACCGATCTCGGCTCACTGCAACCTCCGCCTCCCAGGTTCAAGTGATTCTTCTGCCTCAGCCTCCCAAGTAGCTGGGATTACAGGCATGTGCCACCACACTTGGCTAATTTTTATATTTTTAGTAGAGATGGGGTTTCACCATGTTGGCCAGGCTGGTCTCAGACTCCTGACCTCAGGTGATTAGCTCGCCTCTGCCTCCCAACATGCTGGGATTATTGGTATGAGCCACCGTGCCAGGCTCTTGCTGAGGTTTGAAAGCACCCCCTTAGAAACCATCAGGGAGAACCTCTTCCTTCAATGCCCCACTCTGTAAGAGCACTGAGTTCAAGAGATGACCTGTCCTCATGGGGGAAATTTAGTAACCCTGGATCTGCAATGGGAATTCACTATGTAAACAGCAATTCACCCCTCTAAATACCTCCCAGACAAAGCTGGGAAATTTATGGCTATTTGGGGCAATCTGGAAAGAACCTCAGTGACGGTAAATAATTTTTATGTTCTTACGAAAGAAAAAAATCTAAGACCAGCAGGAACTCCAAGGGGTTTCATTTTCTTTTTAGGTAGAAGCAGCCACAAGACAAGGGATTGCTTATCAAGGTTTCAGTCGTGTAACAGATCTCCAGCCTCGGAGGTGTATTTTCAGTTTCGATTCAGCTGATAAGTGGGGAGAAAGCACCCCAGGTCTTGGAAGTTAGCTTTTTCCCTCTTCGCAGACAACCTCCAGAGCAGGGCAGGAGGCAGTTGATAGAGATTTATTTCTCCACTTAGTTGTCTCTGTTTGTGGCCTCCTCCCATGAGTGGGACCAGGAGAAACCCCTGTCTCTGATGAAGGCAGAGGATGAACAATGAACCAAACCCACGCTGCTCAGCACATCTGATGGGGCCAGAAACACAGACTGCAAAGGCTGAGAAAGCCTCTCAGGGGTCGTCCGGCTGTGTGGGTGTGAAGACCTGGCTGCACTTAGAATCATCTGGGAAGGCTTACAAATATGGATTCTGAGTCTCACCCCCAAGGATTCTGACTTGGTCAGTCTGGGATGAGGCCTGGGAATCTGCCCCTGTGTAGCCAGCAGTGCTCCACTTGGACCTGCATCTGGGGACCCCTGGGCCACCCTGGCCCTCTTAATTTATAAGCAGAACTAGCCCCAGGGTGGAGAATGAATTGGGTGCTTGTCACCTGATTACATAATTTAAGGTGTCCTTAGTTATGCCCCGCTGACTTGAGCACAGACCTCCCCAGTCATTCTCCTCTCCAGCAGCACAGGGTCGGGCGTGGGAGGGGAGTACACACCCATGCGGGCATCTATTGAATGTGCCAGGTCTGTATCTCTATTATCTCACCTCTATCCTGTGAAGTAGACTTTATTATTCCCATTTTACAGATGAGAAAACTTAGACTGAGAGAGGCTGAGTCATTTGGTCAAGGACACAGAGTTGCTGAAGTGACAAGGCCAGCTTTGAACCCACGTGGTCCCTTCTTTGGCCCACGCTTAACTACACCAGGGCGCCGTCTCAGCAGTGGTCTCCTCGGGGTTGCGTCGCAGCCTGGAGCACAAGCTTCTCCCCTGATCATTGTCAGATAGCTTATTTCCGATGCTGTTTTTCTGGTTTTTAGTCGACTTCTCATTGTATTCAGCCCAGTGACCTCTGGTCCTCTCTTCTGCTCTTTCAGGGTTATTCAGTGTTTTGTGTTTGTGCATCTTGACTGCACGGAACAGGGGCCACAGGGGACAGGGGCCACAGGGCATTGCTTCCCTCCCCGGGGCCTGGCACCTAGCAAGCACTAGCAGGCAGTCTGGCCATAGCAGCTGAGTGATGAGTGAACTGCTTGGAGGCTGCACGTGGGCCCAGGCTCTTTTAGGTCTATCTCCCCTACAGGCAGCTGTGAAAACACACAAAGCAACACCCTGAGGCAGCAACAGGTCCAGCATGGGAGTCTGAGGAGCAGAAAGAAGCTGAGGTGGCCACAAGAGCCCAGTGGGCAGTGAGGTGAAGCTAGAGAGATGGGCCAAGGCCCATCAGCCAGGGCCGTAAAGCGGATGGATTTCGTCCTGAGAAAGCCAGCTTTGACAGGGGAGGGCCATGCTCCTGCGGCCTCTGGGTCACCAGGCTGTGCTGCCTCCTGTACTGCTAGCTGCCCCTTCAATCAGGAGCCCCACACTGTTCCTGGGGTAACTCCAGGCCCTGGCTTGCAGTGGCATGCAGAGGCATTTATTGTTTTGCTGCTTTGCAGCAAAAAAAATGGAAGAATGAAAGGCAACCCGGAGTGAAATCAGATGACAATTTTACAATGTCTGTGACTCAGGAAGCACATCATTTGTCCCCTTGGAATTTATGACAAAGCCAGGTGAGAGCTGGGTTGAAAATGACCTTTATCCAAGAAAAAAAGGTTTTGCTGAGTAAATTAAGAGCGCGGATGAGACTGGGGAAAAGCTTAAATCATCCATGAGAACTGTTTAAGACATTTTGGTAATGTCAGCTTAGTACAATCGACACCTGGATTGCCTAATCCCATAATTCAGGAAGCTGCCCACTCACCTCCACAAAAAATTAGTTTGAATTGATTATATTTAATTATATTTGAATGCCTCAAATTGAACAATCCCAATGCCTACTGCGTTGTTCATAACATTTGAAGCATGTGATCTGACTCCAGAAAGCGCCTACCTCGGCATGTGCACGCTCACAAACATGTCAAAACTGGCCCTATTTTTAGTTGGCTTTTAGGATTCTACAGCCTTATACCTGAGTCTACCTTTGATTTCAGCCTCTTTAATTTGAATCCTTCAACCCTGTGGAGTTTTCTAAATAAGCTCTGCCGGCTGCTATCAATACAGGCAGATTCACACCCCAACTCGGGGTGGCACTGACTCCATTTCCTCAAAGATGACACAGAAAACAAAAAAAAAAAAAAAAAAAGGCCGGTGCGGTGGCTCACACCTGTCATCCCCACACTCAGGGAGGCCGAAGCTGGCAGATCACCTGAGGTCAGGAGTTTGCGACCAACGTGGCCAAGATGGTGAAACCCTGTCTCTACTGAAAATACAGAAATTAGCTTGGTGTAGTGGTGCACCTGTAGTCCCAGCTACTAAGGAGGCTGAGGCAGGAGAACTGCTTGAACTCAGGAGGTGGAGGTTGCAGTGAGCCAAGATCGGGCCACTGTACTCCAGCTTGGGAGACAGAGGGAGACTCCATCTCCAAAAAAGAGAGAGAGAGAAAAGAAATCAACTTCTAAAGATGCTAGGCTTTATGTATCAAGGGTCTTTAGCATACAGTAGTCCCCGCTTATCCGTAGGGGATCTGTTCCAAGACCCCCAGTAGACGCCTGAAGCCACAGATAGTACCAAACCCAGTATATACTACGTATATACCTGAACATACAGACCTATCATAGAGTTTAATTTGTTAATTAGGTACAGTACTCTTGTGCTTTGGAGCCATTAAGTCAAACAAGGGTGACCTGAACAGAGACACAGCAATGTGGTGACAGCTGATGTGACTGCCTAAGTGACTGAAGGGCAGGGGGCAGGCCCGGTGTGGGGACCATGGACAAAGAGAGGGGTCACGTCCCAGGCTAGATGGAGCGAGATTGTGTCACGCTACTCAGAACAGAGTGCCATTTAAAATTGATGAGTTATTTCTGGAATTTTCTATTTAATATTTTCAAACCTCGGTGTATTGCAGGTAAATGAAAACTCAGAAAGCGAACTCGCAGGTAAGGGGGGAACTACTGTATTTAATCCTTCACCATGGCAAGCCTATTTCTGAGAATCTACCCTGAAAAACAATGTGGATTCAAAGAAGCCATGTGTGAGAAAGAGCACAGTCTCTTCATTTAACAAAAGAATGGAAATAACGGGGCCGGGTGTGGTGCCTCACACCTGTAATTCTAGCATTTTGGGAGGCCGAGGCGGGCAGATCACAAGGTCAAGAGTTCGAGACCAGCCTGGCCAATATGGTGAAACCCCATTTCTACTAAAAATACAAAAATTAGCTGGGTGTAGTGGTGGGTGCCTGTAATCCCAGCTACTCGGGAGGCTGAGGCAGGAGAATTGCTTGAACCTGGGAGGCAGAGGTTGCAGTGAGCGGAGATCGCACCACTGCACTCCAGCCTGGGCCATAGAGCAAGATTTCGTCTCCAAAAAAAAAAAAAAAAAAAAAGAATGGAAATAAATACACAGCAAGAGAGTGGGTGAGTAAAGTATTGGACTTCCCTTAATGTAATATCGTGGGGCCACTGAAAAGATGCTCATAAGTGTTTCTATCTATGGCATTTCAGCACATTTAAGACACTTGATTAGAAAACACACCACTATTTCACATACCTTTAAGGAAGTAAATACCCAGAATGGGTTATCTAATAAAGGACATCTAAGTAAAATTGGGATCCTAAAGGTGTATTTCTTTGGTGTGAGGGGAATGATAAGCAGCCTTGTCAGGCAGAAAGAGCCCGTGAGGAAATCTCCGTGTCCCAGCCATGGACCCGGATGCAGGCAGGGAACAGAAACACCCCTGAGGACGTGCACAAGCCAATACTCACGCTGCTTTGAGTCTGAATTTGCACTAAGATGTGATCTGGAAATATGCCAAGTAAATGCTGTAACTGAATTTAAGTTTAATTTCAGGTTGTCTCAAGTTGGCAGTGCCCCAGGTGACTGACAGAACGAATACAACCTCCTCTGGAAAGAGCTGAGTTTTAACACTGGCTGACAGCACCTGTAAAACATCAGCCCCACTGCAGCGTGCAAGATCCAGAGATGTGACAGTGTGAAAATAAGTGAATCTTAGAATTAACCTTAAGCAAAAAAGCGGAATAAAATGGTATGTGGATGATGACAGGACATCTCTTTGCAGAGCAGACCAACTGGAAGGAAAACACAGTAAAATGTTCACTGTGATTTTCTGCACGTGGTAAGACTACAGCATTTTCTTTCTTTAAACGAGTCTGCATTTTCCAGCTTTTTCTAAAGTGAACATCGAAGAAAAGGAGAAATAAAACAAGGTGAAGCAAGTGAGAGGAGAATGACTTTAGGAGGGGTGGTCAGGGAGGTGACCCTGAAGGAGGTGACCCCTGAACTGAGAAGGGACCAGCACAGGAGAAGCCACCTTTAGAGTTCACTGCTACATCTATATCCAGGACAGGGCCTGGGTCACAGGGAAGATGCTTGATACATATTTGCTAAATTAATACACAGGTTAAGGAAGGAAAAAGCTGCTAAAACAGGAGCCTAGGTCTTAAGGGGTCCCAGCAGATTCTGGCTCTTCAGGGAGCCATTCTCACTGGACTGAGCCGATAAACAGGGCCAGGCCAACAGCAGGGCCCTGTGGAAAGTCTGCAGCTGTGGGGTTAGAGGACCACGGTTGTGGTCTTGGGCCTGTTTCCCCATCTGTCAAAGAAGGTTAGTGCTGTGCCACCTCAGCCTCTGAAGTGAGCTCCAGATCATACAGTGCTTTGAAATATTAAGCTGCGTGCACGCCTGAAGAGCTGTCATGCTCCAGGAGGTCCTCGTGCGAGCCCAGCAGCACCTCCCTGTAACACTGGGACCTGTGAGCTTCACACAAGCTGCTTTGTCTCAGGAGGGTGCCGGTGCTCTGCGGTTCAGCCCACGGGAGATACCACATCAGCTCCTGCCTTCCTACCCGCATGCACTTTCCAGATTCGCTTACTGTGTACGGGCCTGTGCTGGAAACTGCTAACACAGAGATAAGAGTTGGGTCCCTGTCCTTGAAAAAGTCACAGGGAGCCCAGAGAGCCAGATGAGCAAACAGGATGATACCCGAGGGAGGGGACACCCAATCTGCTGCTGAGAGGCAGTTTACAGCAGTCACCCTTGGGGAATAATAATGGAGGCACTGGGTTTTCATACATTGTTTCCTTTCGCCTTGATAGTTTTGGGAGGTTAGCTCCATTTCAGAGATCGGGGCTGGAAGCTGTTATCTGTCAAGGTCACAGAGCCTGGACTCGCACCTGGGCCAGGGTGACTCCAGAGTCCATACCCACAGGTACACTACCTCACTAGTGTGTGTGTGTGTGTGTGTGTGTGTGTGTGTGCGCGCGCGCGCGCGCGCACACACACACTGGCAGTGGGGAAGGCAGGGAGACAGGAGGAGGCTATTGTAGAGGTGACAGCATGATCTTCAGTGAGAGACAGGGGCCAAGGGTAATGGTGGGCAATGAGGCTGACACAAGGCTAGGTGGCCTGTGGCTTCCTTGTGAAGAAGCTGATGTGAGCAAATCCACAAATCTGCCTGTAAAGGGAAAACTTTCCTGGGCTTTCTGCGCAGGTCATCCCCCTGCTCCAAGCCAGCCCCTCAGAGGACATTCAGCAAAGGCACCCATGTCCTGCAGCAAGAGGGCTGCAGGGGAAACCTGACTCCCGCCAGCTTCCAGCTGCTCTGACTGGGAGCGTGCCCAGGTGTCACTGTCACCCTGGTCTGCTGTGGAGGGTGCCTTGCTCTCCCTGGACACCCAGCTCAGCTCTTGCTGAGCAGTGGCCATTTTGTGGGGCAGGAAGAGCCAAGCTGGGCCTGGCTGCTGATACTATGCAGAATTCTAAGGAATTTTCAGATGCAATTATGGTTACTAACAGGCTGACCTTAAACTAGAGAGGTGATCCTAGGTTAGCTGAGTAACTCAAAATAATCACAGGAACTCTTAAAACAAGGACGGCAGAAGAGAGACTCCAGTCATAAGGACTCAACCCACTACTAGTGGCTTTAAAGGGAGCCACGAGTCGGGAAATACGGGAGGTTGAGAATGAACCCCGAGGCCCACAGTGGGCAAGGAACAGGGACCTCAGTCCAGGCTACCAGCATAGGCTGCTTTTCCCCAATCAGGGCATGCAAGGGCATGTGGCCCCAGAGGGTAAAGGATGGGGAAGTCCTGGGATGTGTCCCCACCCCAGAGTCTCTTCCCAGCTTGGCATCCTCATGGGATGCCAACAACTCGATGGATAGATGCAGTCCTGTCAACACAGAACTCGAAGGCAGGTTCACTGCTGGAGTGTTCACACCCAGACCTCGGCCCTGCGACTCTGGCGGAGCACCAGCTAGGCATGTGATGCTGACTTCTGACTCTCGGGACGTGGGGGATAGTAACCGGGCGCTGCTTTAAACTGCTGTATCTGTGGCAGCTGGTTAACAAAGTAGTTGGAAATGACTCACCAATGAGCTATCTGAAGAAAGGTCACCTGGGCTCCAGAGTGGAGGGAACAGGGCTTAGAATGCTGGCCATGAAAGGACACTGGTCCTGCCGTCAGCTTCACACTGCCCACAGGAGCATCACAGTCATGAGTAGTGCTGAACCCATTCCTTCACTCAATCATTCAGCCAACGTTTCTCAAACATTTGCTAAGACATAAGTGCTAGCTGGGTGTCTGGAGCTCAAATTTCATGAAAGGGCAGAAGGCCAAACAAATGACACCCAGTGAAATGAGTCCCAGGATAGGAAAAGGCTCCCCAGTGCTACCCCATCTCTGGCACCCAGAGGTGGTGGGAGGTCAAAGAAGGGTCAGTGGTCCACCAGGGGTCGAGAAGGTTTCTCAGGGCTTGAAACCCTGTCCTGGGATTTGGTGCCCAGGAAGGAGAGAGAGGCCACGTTGGATGCCCACACTCAGGGGGCAGCAGCACACTGGCTGGGCTGGCACATGGACCATAAGGGTCTTGGCCACCAGGTGTGCCAGGCAGCTCAGGAGGGCCTCACAGTTCAGACAGGAAAGTTGGGACTGAGGATGCCAAGCAGGAAAGAGACTCTGGGGAGGGGACACATCCCAGGACTTCCCCATCCTTTAGGACAGGGACTTTCAAACCATGTCAGCCCCTACCCTCTGGGGCCACATGCCCCTGCACACCCTGACTGGGGAAAAGCAGCGTATGCTGGTGGCCTGGAGCACCGCACCCACACACACCGTCTGTAAATGAATGAATTTACGCTTTGGTTTGTATACCAGCCTCGGAGAGTATTATGCCGCCAGCACCTGGCACATAGCAAACAATCCATGTTAGTTTTACAGGTAAATAAAAGACAAAGGCAGGTCCGTGAGAGGTTGACCACATCACAGAAAACAGTGAAGTGTGGGGGCCTGATGCTCAGGACAAGATGGGGGAGAGGCCAAGGCCTGCAGTTCAAAGGAAGCCAGTTGGGGACAGAGGGCAGAAAGTATCCCTCACTCTGTGGCACAAGCCTGGAAGCTGGCTCTACCCTCCCTCAGGAGCTGGGCAGCAGAGGCAACGTTGAACCATGACAGGACACTTTCATAGCCTCTTCTTGGATGGAGGGATGCACCTGTCCTGAATAAGGAGCTCAAGGCGGGAAAATACGCTCTCAGCTCCATCTTTGCCACAAAGGTGGCAGCAGAAGCCCTGAGTTCATCGGGCTAGGCAGGAGACTGGGAAGGACCTCTGACTGTTCTCACAGGGTCCAGAGGACCTGACTCTGCCACCAGCTCCCCAAGGGGTGGGGGCACTGCTGGCAGGCCCCTCCCCTCCATGGACTCTACTTTCCTAGTGTGGTCACATTAATCACTTGCACGTCTCTAAATGCAAAGTGCAAAGTTCCATGTATCAATTCATCTAATCCTCAAAACAATCCTACGTGCTTTTCCTAGCCCATTTCACAGATGAAGAAGTTGGACTGGTGAGGGGGTTTTCCACTTTTACAAATTTGCAGTTGACAAATCCTTCTTGGAAGAAAAAAGTAC